GTTTGCTTTTGGAGTAAGATGTTTAGTTTAGAAAAGCTAGACAACTGGAAATTAATTCACTTGCCTTTCAAAACCCCAGATTGTATGGAATTAGATTATAAAATAATGCACAATCGAATATTTACAAAAGAAAGACTGAAATATTATGGCAAAATTGATAATGACAAGTGTCCAGTCTGCCAGTTGGAAACAGAAGCTTTATTTCATATGTTTTTAAAATGTCCTGAACTAAGTTCTTTTAAAAATTATATTGTATATATTGTAGAGATTCTTTTCAAAAACTGTAGACTTGATGTTCTTCATAGTATTTCCTTTGAACAAATGTTGATGATAGGATATAACAAAGAAGCAGCATCAGTCAATAGTTATTTATTAAACTACATTCTGAGCCTTGATCGATTGTGTATTTACAAAAGACGAAACAGCATGTCGACAATAGGGAAGAAAATAGACATAGAAAAATTGTTTAAATATTTGACTAGGAAATACATATTATGTGCATCAACATTACAAAGACAAAGATCAGACTTTGTTTACAAAATATTTTGTACAAGACAATCCGCTAATAAGAGTAAAAGAGGAAGAAATGTTTCTCACTATGTAAAACTAACGTTTTGTAATACTAAGTACATACTGACTGTAAACTTTTAATCTACATCTTGTAAAGAACGCTGTTTTTTAAATAAAGAATATAAAAAAAATGACTCGCCTAGTCCACATTTGACCTTGCATTTTCTATTTTGAAACTTTGAAAGCTAAATAAAATCCTTAACAAACTTTTGGCTACTGATTTTAGACAAGATACAATAGTCAGTAATATGTAAATAAGACATAATAGATAAAGAAATAAGATAAAGTAAAAATGGGGTATAATACACGTAACTAAAGGAATATGTTACATAAATGCAACAATTTATTGAAAAGGAAATTTAGGACTTAATACATATGAAATATCTCAACAACATATTCAACAATAGGCTAGGGTTTTGCTAAACAGTTATGGTATACCGAGTCTTAAAGTTAGCGATAGGTGAATAAGAATACCTCGATATATCCATGATAAATCATAATTTCAAATCAGCCTTAATTACCTACGTTTGGGAAATAAGAAGATAAATAAAATGGTGATTCATTGTTAGCATATTAGTTGTACTGCAAAATATTATAGAGCCTATTGTTTATCATTATTTCGAGCCTCATTTGTAAAATTTTTAAAATTAACAACCTTATCACATTATTCTAGTAAATTAAATATTTACACAAGAATTGCGGCTCCATTAGCGTATGGTAAGGTCCGTAGGAATTTCCTATCAATGACATGTGCCAAATCAATATTTGACCTTGAATGTAGATTTCCATAAGAAGAATTTGGTGGAATGTGTGTTTGTTTATTTGTTTAGATAAAATAAATGTAAATAGGATATCACATGAAAAAGGCTTTACGTGTATTCATGTATTCATAGCGTATGGTAAGGTCCGGTAAGGTAAGGCTTTACGTGTATTCATGTATTCATAGCGTATGGTAAGGTCCGTAGGAATTTCATGTATTCATGTATTCATATGTATTCACATGTATTCATGTATTCATTCGTGTATTCATGTATTCATAGCGTATGGTAAGGTCTGGTATGGTACGGCTTTACGTGTATTCATGCATTCATAGCGTATGGTAAGGTCCGTAGGAATTTCCTATCAATGACATGTGCCAAATCAATATTTGACCTTGAATGTAGATTTCCATAAAAAGAATTTGGCGGAATGTGTGTTTATTTGTTTATTTGTTTAGATAAAATAAATGTAAATAGGATATCACATGAAAAAGGCTTTACGTGTATTCATGGTGGGTATTTTTAGTATCTTATGAGTAAAGCAAAGTATTATTTTCACTAATGCCTGTTCATAATTTGAAATTTGTTACTTCAGGTTGAAGGTACCCAATCCAAAAGTCTGTTTCAATCACTTGGGTTTCCTATGTGGAGATATTTATAGATTGATCGTGTAAGCTAATTTTATCAGATATGGGGAAGAACTCTTCTGATCTAAATTATATTGAAAAGATAAATGAATGAATCTTTATAATTTAATGACTTTCATACAGCACAAGCATTTATTTTGTTCTAATATTTAGTTGAATGTTTGATAACTTAGAAATGTATGATCCAAAAATACCTCTACATTGATAATCGGCAATATTCACTTCCATTATGAATGCTCAATTTTGAATTTGGTAATATTTCAATATACACATATTTTCTCAAGGTATTCTAGTCTTTGAGCACGTTAAATAACAATCTGTCACCTTATGTATTGTGAGGTCCGGAGGACCTGCGTTATCCTATCAATGACTCGCCCAATCCACATTTGACCTTGCATTTTTTATTTTGAAACTTTGAAAGCTAAATCAAATCCTTAATAAAAATTTGGCTGCTGATTTTAGACAAGATAAAATAGTCATTATGTAAATAAGACATATCAGATAAAGAAAGAAGATAAAATAATACTGGAATATAATACACATAACTAAAGGATTATGCTACATAAATGAAACAGTTTATTCAAAAGCAAATTTAGGATTTAATACATATGAAATACCTCAACAACTTATTCAATAATAGACTAGGGATTTACTGAAGAGTTATTCTATACTGACTCTTAAAGTCAGCGATAAGTGAATAGGTAAATAACGCTACTTCGATCTATCCAAGATAAATCAAAATTACAAATCTGCCATAATTACCTACATTTGGGAAATAAGATAAATAAAATGGTGATTCATTGTTAGCATATTATTTGTACTGCAAAAAATTATAGAGCCTATTGTTTTTCGTTATTTAGAGTCTCACTTATAAAATGTTTAAAATTAACAACCTTGTCACATTATTCTAGTTAATACTATATTTACACAGGAATTGCTCTCATACATTATGAAATGGTCCATAGGATTTTCCTGTCAATGACCTGTGCCGAATCAATATTTGACCTTGTATATACTTTGCCATAAAAATATTTTTTATTATCTGCTTATTTATTTGGATATAATAAATATAAAAGGTATCTAACTTGCAATATATGTCATGTATGAAATGGATAAATGGACACTACATTGACATATAAGACACTTTTATGACGTAAAGAGTACATTACTTGTGACTTTTGGCACGTCAATAAGCAATGTAAGTAATATAACATATACAGTTATCTACATTAGAGTAAAAAGCAAAAAGCGCTATTATACAAAGATAAATTAATATAAATATAACGGTTAATAGAGAATAGAAACATATGTTGATCCACAAGGATAACCCAAGAAAGTTTATATACTTCCTCACCCTCCACACGTACCCGTTTTTTCTATGTAATTCATCGTCATCGAGATTTTGAAGCAGGGAACAAACATGAAATTAAAATTTAGTTATAGATTAACGTAATATCCAACTAAAAATTAGTATCTGAGTTCAAAATTAAAAGTTACAATCAAATGTAATTTAAGTAAGACAAATATCACAGAATCCTATTTCTTTGATCAGCTTCCAATGAAAATGAATTCTTAACAGCCGATCGATTTCTAATGACGGACCTGCATCAAATCCCTTAACGTGTTGGACCGATTTACAGGTATCAATAAAAACCTCGTATGAATATCACTATATATATATATATATATATATATATATATATATATATATATATATATATATATATATATATATGTATATATATGTATATATATATACATATATATGTATATATATATATATATATATATATATATATATATATATATATATATATATATATATATATATATATATATATATATATATATATATATATATATATATATATATATATATATATATATGAACCAAAACTTATTTAAAAGGAAACTTACAAGAGTTGAATAGAAACGACAACATGTATAAATAATACCTGGATATGCATGTAATTCAAGTCTCAGTAAGGAATTTTGAAACATTTTTAGAATGCTTCTCCTTTAAGACAGTTGATTAAATTTAAATTAAAGCGTTAGTTAGGAGATTAGTTAAGTGAAAATGACCATAAAGTTGCTCTTTGTAGATCATCTTAAATATATTTGCAAACCATGGTTATAATGATTTAACTCTCCAAGAAATTAGGATTGCTATGATATCCATAATTTTCTAATTCCTAGCAGTTGAAAGTATCAAATTTACAAAGCTAAATGTGGCGAATATATCAGTCTATTTAAATAGCATTCGGGTTTAATATTATTATCACGTATATAGGAGACTTCAACACGACACACATACAATCAAACGTTCTTCCATTTATCCCGCAGAAAATCAAAACTACAAATCTGTTTATGGACGTGGGGCTGCTTTACCAAATCTTATTTGTACAATAAAATGGTTCATTCTAATTTCATCATTGGCTGAGGAAGACAAGAGGTTGTATTACGTTTATTTTATTTATTTACTTGTGTGATAGTTTTAAATTATTTATTTTGATTATGTTTCATTACATGTTATTGTAATGATAACGTTCTTCATCTCTGGATTTGATATTTGTTCGGAAAATTCTGTTAAGTTCTCCTTTCCTACAATGTATTTTTAGCTGACATAACTCCTGACCTTGATTCAGACTTGGTAAAGATAGAGTTAAAATCATTGGTCGTAATAAAGGTCATATTTGGCTCAAGTGTCAGCTCTGTTGTAAACAACATTTTTATAGTTGTTTTATTATTGAATCTTACAGTAAGATTCGTTAGATAAAATAAAATTCGTCCGTGGTGTATGTGTCAATGGACATATGGTCATGCTGTGCCATTCGAATTAAGTGACCACGTGACCCCATCACCTGGAATCAAATTGCGTTTGTTACTAACGCTTTTAATGATTCAATTAAATTCATACCTTTGGAGCTCGAAGGTATTTTGTGTTGTGACCTTTAAGTCAAGTTTTTCTAGTTTTCGGAATTAGAAATTACTTTCTCTGCAAGACATACAAACGCTCATCTTCACCGCTCCGGTGGCCTAGTGGTTAGAGCGTTCGCCTCGATTGCGGGAGATCGTGGGTTCTATCCTCGGTTGAGTCATACCAGACTTACAAAATGGAACTACCAGCTACCTAGCTTGACGTACAATATTAAGAGGCTAGTATTAGGACTGGTCGGCCTGGTGTCAGGATAATGTGACTGGGTGGGGCACCATGCTATATGTCTGCGGTATGATGCCCCAGTGCTAGATATCAGTATTACCTGCCACACTGCAGACATCATAGCGATATGACTAAAACAATTGTTAAAGCTACGTTGAAAATCATAATCACATCACATCATATCACATCTTCCTTTCTACGCACACATAGTACATGCACTAAATTATATTATAGGTTCCATAGACCGGGAAGCACGACACAGACAACTAGGTCACCGTCAAATTCCCGAGTAAAACGTAACCAATAATCAAGTAACTCAATGAATTTGATATATTGAAGCCAGTCCATACAACGCAAAAGATAACATGCAAAACAAATAGCATACACACGCAGCAAACACTAGACACCATTGATCCCTGGCAAGAATCCCTATATGTAAATAAACTCCAAGACCAGCCAGGGTCAAGGAGATATTAATACACTAGAATAGTGAAGTTATGCAAACCCTAGATCAAAATTTTTAAAACCGAACTTCTAATCAATTTAATACAAACAAACGCTTATATGATGGGGGAGAACACAAACACATACAATCCTTTTAATCTTTGGCACTAGGGGGTCCCTTCTATGATGCAAGTCGGAGAGGGACCATACCAGTAAATAAGAAGCAGCTACGTGTCTCATCATGTTTTCCGCTTCATTTAGACAATTGATAAATAACTGTTCCATCTGTACCCGTGTTGGCTTGAAAAATATCATTTGTTTCTCAAATCGGGTCAAACCAAGGTTTTGGTAGCTCTACATATATGGTCATCTTATTATTTGAAAATCGAAACTCAATGTGGAACTACATAATTGAAACATGCAGCACCATCTCTTCCATATCATGTTTTGACTACAATGAATTTTCTGTTAATCTAGTTTTACATTTTTATTTATGTGCATTTCTTGATGTAATTCTCCTGATACTAAACAAGATATATTAACAATTACATAATTTTTATATCTCCTTTCATCTTTGATCAATCTTCAATTCAACCTTATACAAAAATTGCGGACATTTTCAAAATACAAATGAATCAATACAGTATTTTCAATTGTAATTTAATTTTAACTATATACCAAACAGAAAGGAGAGTGCTATCCCTTGATTCTACAGACAAATTCTCGATAATAGTAGGCAGAATTCCCATTTTCATATAAATAATACTATCATAGAGGTTAGAGAAATTTTACTTCGTACTAAACGGAAATTCGAAGCCAGGTCCGCGGGTAAAAGATACTCATCGACTTTCCTGCACACACCAGTCCATATTCCGTCAGTACTAAGCACGCATCACCAAAAAATGATGCGACTGAATCGGTGTTAAATGCATTCGTGTGTAGCAGATACACTCGCATGACAATGTAATAATTGACTCTTATTTACTTACATTTTCATTCCCGATTCATATGAAAGAAATCAAAGTTTACGGGATTAATTGTAGAGAATTATAAATATACACCAAACAGAACGGCAAGTGCTATCACTGGATTCTATAAAAGAATTCTTGATAATAGTAGGCAGAATTATTATTTTAATACTAATTTGCGTGTGGGTCAATTATTTATTTCGGACTAATAAAATCATCAGCACCATAGTACATCTAAGCCCGACCCCATCCCACCCACCACTAACTTACGCGATATAGAGATTGTTTTTGTTCCGTCATTCCATCTGTACGTTAGAATTTCATATTAGAAAAACTGGCTCAAACATAAGTCAGTCAAAGCAGATAAAATGGGATATTGGTATTCTTTCACTAAGTTCCAGAAACGATTAGGTTGTGCGGACATTTAACTAAATTTTCAATGTTTCTACCCTTTTCAATCTTCTGGACTTGCTATTTATGCCTTAAACCTTGTAAGCACATTTCGACAAAAATCTGCTAAGGTGCAGGAATGAAATCTGGAGTTCATTTTTTACAGGTACCTAAATAACCTAAATAGATTTCCAGGAAAGTATAGTATATATTCTATGGGCAATTATCATATTTTCTTGGGACATTTTTCGACATTTTCCATAAATATAGATGCGCATTATAAATAAGAGTTTATTGTATCTTTTCTTCATGACATATGTTGCATGTTATGTCTTTTTTATTACTTAACTTAGGCGTAAATATGAATTATCTGTTCGACATATCCAAATAAACAACAAACTAAATTATTTCGAATCTGCTACTACAAATTGAACGTCACTAAATAACAGTGCAGTGATTTGTTCAAATCCTTGCGTAATATTGCTCACAAAATGGGCAATTATTAATATAAATTAAAAGAATAATTTCCGAGATGACTAAAGTAATCGTAGAATGGAAGAAGTGGTAAATATGTTGAAAGGATGGTGTGCAAGTTTAAGAAAGAAATATTTATAAATAGAGGCGTTTCATCTTCATGTATCAAGATATTTTCAGACTCTTTTCTCTTGTAATTTATATTCTGGCAATGTTAGTTATCTAATGATGTTCTTCACTGTTTACTTCAATGTCTATAACTGCATGTTACTGCAAATGTTACGTAAAAAATATGCCCAAGGATTTATGTGACATTCTTCTAATCCTAATGACTTTCTGGATAAGTATTCGTTATATCTTTTTTCCCTGTGTGTTTGTGTGATTTACATTTTTAACATAACATTAACAATTTTTCGGTTATAATTCTACAATGTCTGCAGTGTGACAATTTATAGTGATATGATATTTCTACTGTGCTATTTATAAGGAGTTCTTCTAAGCATCTTTAAATCGGTCCAAAATGTTAACGGTTCATATGTATGTCCCTCATTTTAAATCGGTCCAAAATGTTATGGGTTATTGATGTAGGTTCGTTGGTTATTAAGTTTTGCCATTCAATGAAAATATATCCATCAAACAAGATCTTGTGATATCTGACTTACTTGAACTGATTTTGATTGGAACGTTTAATATTGAACTCAGATACTAATTTTTAATTGGATAATACATTTATTGGTTAACTAAATTTGTATTTCATGTTGTTCCCTGCTTCAAAATATCGATGCAGCAAAATTCCACTGAAAGCAACGGGTGGGAGTGGAGGGTGAGGAGCGTATATAAACTTTCTTGGGCAATCCATATGCATCGACATATGTTGCTATTCATTGCTATATATTAATCGTTCTACTCATTCTGATTTATCCTTATTTAATAGAATTTTTCTACAGTTTACTCAAAGGTTGATAACTGTATATGTTGCATTAATTATATGGCTCATTTAGGTGCCAAAGTACATAAACAATATATTCCTTATGTCATAAAATGTCCTTTATGTCAGTGTTTTTGTGTGTGTGTGTGTGTGTGTGTGTGTGTGTGGTACACATATGTTATCTCTTATTCACATTTATTGTATCTAATAAATAAATAGATAAATAAATCAATAAAGAAATGAATAAATAAAGAAATACAAAATATATACAACCAATTATTTATATGGCAAATTACATACAAACTCCAATATTTATTTGGCACATGATATTGACAAGATAATGGAAATTAATGGATATGTTACAGAATCAAAATTCGTGAAGGTGTTTTTTGTATGTTTGCAGGCTTTCCAAACAAATTTAAGATCATCTAATTTGAATGACTGTATAATCATTTGAGTGGCAGTTTATTGATTTAACGATTCACTTTGAACTCGCTATAGCGCAAGCACATATTAGATTCAGAAATTGCAATGTTCTAAACAAAATTAACAAAAGCAGCAACAACAACAACAAAACGGCATAATGTTGGCACACATTATTGAACATTGTCTTATCATGCTCATCCACTTCGTTTGGAATATTGGTCAAAAAAAACCTATCGCAAGCGTAGATGTGTCGTCTTGAAACAGAACATTTGTTTTCCAGTTAGGGACAAAGTAATTTCTACTAGTTTCTACGCTGCAGTAAATTTGCGTTAGAGTCTAATAATCGTTCGGAACACGGCGCCGAATATGTTCTCTTTTAATATAAGAACTTTAGCTACACATTTCTGATCTGGAAATTTATACAAAAATTATTAAATGATGGAATCTGAAATAAAAATGCAAGTTAAACATTTTATCCTATAAAATTAGTTTTCATGACGTTAATTAACCCGTGGTAGAAATGGGTTACTTACTGGCATGGTTCATTTTTCCAGGATTTGTGACCGTAATGGTGAAAATAATAGTTAATTCGCCGGACTGGATTCATGCACTGGTCGTCCGAAAGTGATGTATTGGTAGGTTGCGCTTCTATGAATGGATGTGTGTTGTTTTTCAGTCTTCGTACGATTCTGAAGCGATAAAAGACGCGTGAGAAAATTTTAATCGAGCGGAGGGTTGTGGTCACCCATGCATTCCTGGTGTTATTTTATAATATGGTTAAGATGATTTCATATTCTCAGAACTTTTGTCGTGCTTTATTAATAAAACTACTGACTCCTGTGTTTGTTTCCATCTAAAATCATTCAAAAAATTATGGCTTTACGTGTATTCATGGTAATTTTGTTTTAGAACCTTGTGAGTAAAGCAAAGTATTATTCTCACTAGTGCCTATTCATAATTTGAAGTTTTCTACGTCAGGTTGAAGGTACCCAATACATAAGTCTGTTTAAATCACTTGGGTTACCTGTGTAGGGATATTTATAGATTGATCGTGTAAGCTAATTTTATCAGACATGGGGAATAATTCTTCTGAACTAAATTATATTGAAAAGATAAACGAAAGAAACTTTATTATTTACTGATTATGATACATCACAAACATTTAATTTGTTCTAATATGTAGATACATGTTCGATAACTTAGAATTTTATGATCTAAAATACACCTATATGGATAATCAGCGACATTCATTTATAGTATGAATGTTAAATTTTGAATTTGGTAATATTCAAATATACACATACTTTT